ATCTAGCAGCTATATACAAAAGCAAAACAGACAGAGACGTTTTGCACATTAGCACCTTAATATCAGCTCTTACCTGTGGTATTATCCCCGCCTGGTTTTCCTCCTGCTTTCCCATCATAGTATACGATTTCCCAGCTCCGGTTTGGCCATATGCAAAGATACATACATTATAGCCCTCAAAGGCATGTAACAGCATCTCCTTCCCAATATCATTGTACACGCGATTCTGAGACGCAAAGCACGGATCGTCAGGCTGCAGAGATAAGAAAAGCTACATGTCAGAATGGACCTCTTTCAAAATGAAACAACTGCCCATTGTGAGGCATCCTTCCATAGCTTGGAAAAAGTAAGATTTGTGAAGGGTGAAAAAAAAAATCACCATTGAGGAGTTAAAACGAAGGTACCAATGGTCCACGCAGCCCAACGTATCCTTCAACCAGGAACAGTTCCCCAAGGTCTTATCCTTGCTTCCTAAGGTCCTGTAACTACAGATGCCGTATGAAGTGACATTCAACCAATCTGGACCATTGGTCCATCTAGCTCAGTACTGCCTATTTTGACTGGGAGGAGCTCTCCAGGGTCTCATGGGTCCTTCCCGCACTTGGATCTCATCCCTGGTTTTGTCAGAGTTCAACTCGCGACACAATTCCTTGCATTTATCCCTGGTTATAACAGCATCCGTTTATCCCGGGACAAGTGTGGGGCGAAACCGGAGTGACCTCAATGTAATGTGGAAACAAAAAATACCCCCAGAGATAATTACAGGGGTGGACTTGCATGTAATGTAGAATGTAAGTTCGGGGACAGGGTTGAACCAGGACTTAAGGTCTAATGTGGAAAGGGGAGAAGGGTCTTTCCTAATAGTCCAAACTTGATATTCTTTGAACTGAAATCGCTAGAGATTGAACCTGGATCTTCCATATTCCATGCAAGGGCTATACCACTGAGCCACTTCCCCTCTCCATGTTTCTCATAGTAACCAGAGATCATACGCAGCCGTCTGCCCATCACAACATACATTTGTGAACAGGATATTTAAGATACTTCATTAGGTACCACGATGCTTATAATGTTCTTCCACAACCCAGCTAGTTACCCAAGGGGAGCCTGCAGCCCTCCTAACAGTGAACCGTGTTCCCACTAGAACTAGATATATAACATCATTCAACAACATGCTGCTCTTGGGGGAAGTGGTAAGCTTAGGTCTCCGAACACTCTGTCGCTTTATGATTCAAGGCTCAAACTGGCTGCTTATAATACCTCACTATAAAATGCTACCGGCCGTGTAAATTAATCAGCTTGTGCAGCTGCCCACGTTTACTTCCCAGCCTCTGTTATTAAAGAATCTTGCTAATTCGCAATGCCAAATAGGAAATGCTGCCACCAGTGAATGCCTTTCACAAGTGAGCAAATAGTCGAGCAGGACTGGAAGACGGGGAACCTGAGTCATCTCAAGATGCCTTTTTATTTTGTGGAGAAGGCCTAATGTGGAAGCATTTTGCAGCTGGAGGAATTCAAACCATGCTTAGGCACTTATGCCGAAAAAGAATGCTAGGGGGGGGGGGGGAGAGGCAGGGCAGCCAGGCCAACCTCATGAGCCGCTGAAATCATTGCAGAGGAGGAAGCCCAACTCTAGAGCAACTCAGGAAACAGAACATGATGTTGTCGCACCAACGTGGCTATCAATTTCTTTGCACTGTAGGTACACTCACTGGTGAATCCCACTTCACAACACCTCCACTGGCGTGCCTTGTGACTCAAATATTACTGAATATGAGAAGTGCCTTCCCCTCTTTCCAGATGACCGAAAGCTAGCCACACTGCTTCTGGGGGGGCAAAGACTGGGTAGCCCGGGCAAGCCACAGGGCCCCTTTATCAGATGACGCACAACATATTTCAGAACAAATTTCAAAACATCGAGGGTGCCACAGTGGAAGCCAGCACCAGATGCTCCCAGGTAAGTGGCAGTTACATTTTACCGTTCCATTTGGGAAGAATGCAGCGTATGAAAAGCTTTAGAAGGCAGCAAAGTTTAAAGGGAAGATTAGTACTCCTACGTTAAAGGAGGGCCGTAGAGCATGACATAATCTGGTACGTCAGCTGACAAGCGGAACGTTTTCCCGTTCAAGGAATAACTGGAGCAGATTAACAAGATGATTGTCCTGCCGTGCCCTCTGTGGAAAACGGAGCTACTGCTCAATTAAGAGAAGCCACGGGAAAGGGGGAGGGGGGAGGATAAGCACAACACACCTGTAGGTGTATAAAGCTCAGAAACGTGGTTTTATCTTACGGAGGGGCTAGTTTGTAATACACGCTGCTGCCTTCTTGAGCGGCTGGTGAATCTGTTTCTCCTCAACAACCTGGTACGGCAGACCAGCTACGGCCTTTCCTTGGGAAGCAAGGTCTGGCCGCTGTTATCCATTCTCTGCAGAGTGTAATGCACTATATGAGGGGCTGCACTTGAAGACAACCCAGAAACTTCTAAACTGGTTCAGCGCCCAGCACAAACAGTGTGGATTGGCACAGGTGACAGAGAAGCCTGCCAGTCCTACAGCGACTTTCACTGGGTCACTGATTCATTCAGTGCTGGTCCCCCAAATAATGGTATTTGAAGGGCCGCCTACTCCCATACAAATCTGATCGTCAGTTAAGATAATCAAAGTCAAATAGTTGATTAAAGGCCTTGCTCAGTGCAACTGCTGCTTCTGAAGGTGGGGGAAGCCAGAGGAAAGGCCTTCTACGTAGCCATTCCTCAAGTACGGAATGCTCTCCTCATAAGTATTTTCCCCTAGTGCCTGTCCTGGTAACTTTTATGCTCCCTGAACTCTCAATGGCATTAACAGGGTTGTTTACAAAACCTTATCCAAGACTTTCCAACTATCCCAATACAAGGGCATGGTTCAGATGTAACAGCAAACCTTGGCTTGGCATTTTCTGAGCAAGCCTTGACTCAAATCACTAGTTAGTTATTACCTGATTCATGGCAAGCCACAGTTTGCTGCTGCATCCACACAAGAAAATAATCATTTGCTCCTGTCCTACAAGCCAAGATGACAAACCACAGTTTATTTGGAAACCAACTGCAACCCTAGTTTGCAGACCAAGCACAAGCCATAGCTTGATGGTTCAGATGTAAAGAAATTCCTATTAATGGCCAGGAAATAACCATCTAATACTGAGGGGAGGGAAGACAGAAGAAAGCAGCACAGAGATTCAGGGTTCCTTCCAAGCTCATTCACACAGCACCAAACTATGATTTACTGATGCATCTAAACCATGCTTATGACATCTTCAAGCAAAGCTGCCCTGGGCTTACCTACATACTGACTACGCACTGCAGAACAGTGTGCCTCTCTTATGGTTTCATTGCTCGGGATGAGGAAGCCTAGGAACAAAATTCTTTTCCCATGCTTACTTCCCTCAGAGTTTGACCCAAGTCATTTGCTGGGGCCCACCGGGTACCTTCCACTCTTCCATGC